ATTAACCTTACACTGATACCATTAAGCATGAAATACATAAAGACTCTTTCAATCATAATAGAGGTACCAATTCAAGCCCTTACTTTTTCTGCATTTAAACAATCCAGCAAATATGGACACAAATGCGTATCTCAAGTCACGCCCCATTCTAACCTGGACTATCAAGCACACACTTTTAGGTTGACAGTGTTTTAAGCTCATAACCTTTGTTTTATCATGCCAGAATGGAATCAGAGGCCTATTCTGCCTTTCTGAGGTGTTAAGGGGGAAGGGTCGGGGGAAGGGTCCATTGGCCCTCATATGGCTTGTTAACTGAGGGGTGTTACAGAGTGTTTGTTAAATATAACTAACAAAATATATATTGTGTGTCTGATTGGTCCAGACGCTACAGTTTATATGGTGTGTGTGTGTGTGTGTGCGTTTGTTGGTCCTATTTAAAGTTTTTTTTTTTTTTTTGTGCTCGGAGAATAAAATTTTGAAAATCAATTGTAACAAGTTTCAAACATGTTGCAGATGGAATTAAGAACCTAGCCAGTGTACTTTCTTAAATATTAATATATATATTTCATCCTTCCCCAAATGCATTTGTAAAAAGTATACTATTTTACAAATTAAAATAGTATACTTTTGTTTCAACTCAAGTTTGTGCTTGATGAAACATGAAATAACGTCTCAGGTTACTTATGTAACCATGGTTCCCTGAGTAGGGAACGAGACACTGCGTCCTCTAGGGGTTGCTATGGGGGAGACGCCTCGTCGTGACCCGTGTCTGAAGCATACATTGAAAAAACACCAACTCGTTGGCCGGCGACAGCCATGACGTCCCTACCGGTGCGACTATAGTATAAATAGGCGCTGGGAGCATACATCATTCACTTTTTATTCTGAAGCTTGCGTCCGCAGCATGGCAAGAAACCTAGAGGACTCAGTGTCTCGATCCCTACTCAGGGAACCATGGTTACATAAGTAACCTGAGACGTTCCCTTTCATGGGAACTTCGAACTGCGTCCTCTAGGGGTTGCTATGGGGAACGGTATACCCACACCACCATGCTGAGGGGAGTGCATGCCAGAACCATGGCGAGCACTAAGTACCAACTCTACCATATTGCTATGGGAGTCGCCCCTGGGACGTTAGACGGCTGTCAGTGACGTTATTCCCTACGGCCAAAGGCCTAGGCTACATACCCCAAAATACTTACCAGTTAGGGCCAGACTCCTGGGCCCGGGGTAGAGCTCAATGCTTGGAATCATGAATAGATTAGATCATGAATAGAATCATGAATAGATACCGCACGTTCCTCTTTGTATGTGCTGAAGGAACTGTCTCAACAGACCCTTAGTAGCAACACCCTGCTAAGTAGGTATCCAGAGGATACATAGGAGGAGTGGTGCCCAAGGCGGAACCAGGGTTTTAAACCACTCAGAAAGAGCACGAAGTCAATGCGCATAGCTCTTACCATACAGGATTTTAGAAAAGTGGGCAAAGCATAACGTGCACACTTACCACTTATGTGGATTTTAGAAAGTGGGCAAAGCATAACATGCACACACTTGAATACCGTTCTAG